TCTTCAGTGCCCCTGCCTTCTTTTGGCGGCTGATTAGGATTTCCACTATAAGGTAAAACAGAACCCCCAAAAGGCAATCACATTTATAATAAATAGAATAATTAAGCAATTAAAGCACAAAACAGAATGTCTAGTTCAGTGATGGCGAACCTTTTAGAGACTGAGTACCCAAACTGCAACCCAAAACCCACTTATGCATTGTTGAGTGCCGGATGGGTGTGGCCCATTGGCTGGGCGTGGCTGCGGTGGTAACAGCAGACTGGGTGGGACTAAAAAGTTCAATCACTTCCAACTTTGCAAGATCTTTTTTTTCCCCGCGAGAAGTTGAAATTGACTGATTGAACCTTTTTTTTTTTGCACACGGCGACGGAGGCCTAAAGTGAAAAGGTTTTATAAAACCCAGCTGAAGGCCTAGGACTGGGGTGACGGCACGCGTACCCACAGAGAGGGCTCTGAGTGCCGCCTCTGGCACCCGTGCCATAGGTTCGCCACCACTGGTCTAGTTGCTACAAATCTAATTCCTGCCAGCCCCTATTCTCCCCTTTCCCCAATATTTTAGTTTATCCTTCAAAGGTCAGCTTTAGCTCTGCAATACATCTGAAAAATGCTTGAGGCCTTGGACAATACCTAAGAAGACTGGAGTTAAATGCCAGGGGATAATTACCTAGGCAACAGGGCGAGAACTCTTAAATTCCCGAAACTGACAGATGCCTATGTAGCTCAAGCTCAACACATGAAATCTGTGAATAGGGGCCTTTGCTTTCTTTCTCTTGTCTCCCTTTTTAATAAAAAAAGGGAAGTTACCAAGTCAAATTGGTTGTTTACTTGATTGCAATGCTTTGGGCAGGGTGCAGTTTATAACTCTTTTCTCCTGTACTCTTTTGCCAATGAATGATGGTACATCAAAGTAGGTCTTTTGTCTTGTAAGGAGAAAAGCATATAGATACTACAATCAAGCCGCGGGGAACAGAAGCAGAAAGAACTGCAGCTTTTGAGAAGTAATGGGAATTACTTCTTTGATATACAGCTAGTCCTCACTTAACAATAGTTATCGGGACTGGAACTTCCATTACTAAGCGATGCAATCATAAAATATGACGTGACCTGCCCGTATTGCTTAGTGACAGCAATCCCAGCGTTTCCCTATTGCTGTTGTTAAGCCAAGTTCATGTATCTTTAAGTGAGTCCAAAGTGATTTGTACGCAGGCTGGCTGGCAGGCAGGTTAAGTGGGGCTGCTGCCAGGTGGGGGAAGGTGCAAGGGTGGCCAGCAAGGTGCAGAGCAAGCTTGTCGGGACCAAGGGTGGGTGCTGCCAGGTGGTGGAGAGTGCGAGCGACTTCAACCTTCGCTGCTGGCTTCTCCATTGACTTTGCTTTTGAGAAGCCAGCAGTGAAGGTCCCAAATGGTGGTCATGTGACTGTGGGAGGATGCACCTGCTGTGTGAGCTGGTTGCCAAGCACCCAGACTGGATGGGATGCTGGGACAGCTGGAACTTTTGAGGATCGGTCATAAATAGCACTTATTCAGCACCTTCAACTAGTCGCTGAGCAAATTAAGTGAGGACTAGACCTATGAGCCACATTAATCAAGTTGCATATCAATTAAGAGTCTTCAAGGAGTTATGTATTCTCGTTACCTTGTTCTGGGGAACCCACATTTTTTCATGGCACGTACAAAGTTCATACTGTCGGAACCATGATGCTGCTAACATTGGATGTTTTGGCATTGACACATACTACAGTAGTAGTAGCAGTAATGGTAGCCACAGGTTTATTTAGATATGAAGATTAGAGGATCACAAGCAGTCTCAATTCAGACAATCGGGCTGGCTGGGCACATATTTTATTCTTGCACTTTCCCGTATATTTGGATTCTTTAAGTTTCATACCAGTTGGAATGGTCACAGAGAATGAGACAGTGGTAGTTTTCATTCGGGATAAGTAAATCAGCATATAAATGCACACACAGAAGCCTTAGGAGGCCTCTGTTTTAACACTGTGCTTGGAATGAGGAAACCCCACATGCTTTTCTGGTGTAATGGCAACTAGGATTAACTATGGCACTATACTTGGAAATAAATGCATGTAGTCCTTGACTTATGACAACTGACCCCAACATTTCCATTGCTAAGCAAGACAATGAAGTGAGTTGCACCCCATTTTACTTTTTTTTGCCACAGTTGTTAAGCAAATCACTGAAGTTGTTAAGTGAATCATGCAGTTGGTAAGCGAATCTGGCTTCCCCCCCATTGGCTTTGTTTCATCAAACATTCGCAGGTGACCAGCTGGGAAGGTGACAAAAGGTGACCACAGGACAATGCAGTGGCGGAAATGCCTGCCTGTTGCCAAGAGCCCGAATTCTGACCACGTGACCACAGGGATGCTGCAATGGTTGTTAAGTGTGAAAAATAGTCATAACTCACTTTTTTCAGTGCCACTGTAACTTTGCACGGTCACTAAATGAATGGTTGTTAAGTCAAGAGCAAAACCAGATCTTACCCATGCATATGTAATTACAAGATATTTGAAACGTGAACCTGTACAACTAGATGTGATAAAAAAAATATATAGCCGACCTGTATGTATATAGTATGGTTTACATATCTGGAAACACCAGAAATTGAAGTCCTTCTTTGTATTTTGTCTTGGACTGCTTACTTCAAAAATCTGGTAGTCTTGTACGGTTTCAGGACAAAGATATTAACATACCGTAGTTTATAGCTTTATAAAACTTACTTGCTTCTGCTTTTACTTTGTCCATTTCACCAAGTAGGGCTACTTCTCGATCCATGAGGCTAAAGGAAGAAAAGAAAGGAAATAAAGATTAAAATTCTCTTATATTCATAGGCTATAACTTTTAGAAACCAACTCAACAATCAGTCAGGTCATTAAATTGGGACAAATCTCTGCCTCCCTGATTAAAAAAAATCAGTTCCTTTGTATACATTGAGCTTTCAAAGATGGAATGGGTAAATATCACTAACAAGGAACAAGTCAACTTTTTTTTCTGAGATGTCCAGCATCTTTTTTTCTTAGGTTTAACCAACTGAAATCCTACATGGTTTATCACTGTTTTGGTTCCAAAAATCATAAGTATCCTGGTGTTTTAAGCTTTCATTTCCAAAGTAATTTACAGTTGGCTGTTCTACTTTTAATTCCAATGTAGCAATCACTGTGGCCCATTAAAGTGTTTAACTGTCTGTAATTCTCATATTTCAAATGGTCATCTGTGAATTCACATATACAAGGTTTGTGCTTGCAAGCACCCAATTTGAAACATTCCAGAACTATTCTTTGCAGGAAGTTGAGTCTCATTATAACATGTCACCTACAAGTAGTGACTCTTGTTTTTCTCCTCAGATTAGCAACTGCTATAATAATTACTGGAACTGATAAAGCAGAATCAAATTGGGGACCAGGGACCGATTCCATGGAGAGAGGTTTTTCTGTGGACCGGAGAGTGTGTAGTTTTGTGTGCTGCCTGCATCTCACAGACGGGGCTCTGCTTGTTTGTGCGGACCAGTTGATGGCATGCTGCGGCCCGGTACTGGTCCACGGACCTGGGGTTGGGGACCCTGAAATATCTGATATGGGGGAGGGGATTAGTGTCCATTTGCTGAGCACAGATAACCTCCAGTTTAAGAACAAGTTCCTCCTGGCTTTTGTATAGACAAATTCAAGATAGATGGCGAATTGATAAAAAGACAATTTTTGGTATGGAAGACGGGAACTTTTTGAAGAAAGTAAGAGATGGTGCTAAAGGACATATTAAAAGGATATATAATGTTTTATTAGAATTGGACTCAGAAACTGAATTAGTCAAAGATTGTATGATTAAATGGGCTCAAAATATAGGAGAAACAATACCTATGGACACTTGGGAGTTAATTTGGGTGAGAAATGTGAAGTTTACACAAGCTCAAAATTTACGTGAGAATTT